GTATGTGTGTGTGTGTGTATGTGGCCTTGCTTCAGCTCATATGGTGACAACAGAAATTGCGAATGAGGTTGCATGACTCCTCTTACACCCCTCCTCCCACCACACACACGTCACTACTATGAGCGCTATCACTATCCTATCCAGCTGTCCTTGTGGCCACATGGTGAGGGCTCTTGGCAGCGTAATAGAGCCTCTTTCACTCCATCAATTTCTCCAGTGCACATTTCTTTTCACTCGGTCATCTGAGAGGTGAAGATTGGTCCGCTTTAACTGGGTTTGTATTAAATCTAATAGAATCTGTCTGTCTGAAATTGATTCTGTAACATGGCAAGGTTACAAATGAACCACCCTCCTCCTTGTCACCCAAATCCACCAATTAGAATGAGAAGGAAAGACTTACAATGATGATAGAAAGACACTTTGAGAAATGCAAAGAGGTGCATCTAATGCAGTAGCATCCTCTAGGCTATGGGGACTTTGCCTTGCACATGGCCGAAAAGTCAACAGCCTGATAACAGACTAAGAGAAATCAGTGAAAAGGGTTGACATGGAACAACAACCATGGCCGAAGCGTATTAACATAACCTAATTTGGCACCATGTAAATGACTGCTAAGACTGTGCTTTCTCTACTTATTTACTTATTACAACATCCTACAGTAAGTGATTATGTGAGTCTTGAAAAGCTCATTCTGGAGTGGTGAGAGGAATTTCAACTTTAACACAGACCAAACACAGACTAAACTGGCAAGGCACTCAGAAATAGACTTGTGTAAGTCTGTAAGAGAGTGAGGAGAATGAATAAGTCAGTGTTAACACAAGGCAAATAGTAGAAGGGAACAGCTGAAGGTGAGCTGTTAGTGATGTGAGAAAAAGGTAGCATATTGTGCTCAGAAGGCCGGTGAATGTCTATTTTCAGTCATGCTGTGAAGGCAAACTATTGGCTACACTATTAGGCAAAGCCTGGCATGCATAGGACTGAGCATTTCAATACTGAGTAGAAGCACCATCTAAAATTGTTGTTGTACTCACCACATTGGGGCCAGTACTGAAAAATGATACCCAGCATGGGGGTTAACAAAAGACTAAAACTAAGGCAATTACCTTTCCTCTTAGAACTGCTCTCAGAAAACTCTTTTACCCAAGAATCTACTGTGACGCCCACTATCTAACAGTTTAGATAGACCGGTAACTAAGGCACACAAATATAATGCCTTCGCCTCTTAATGAGCCACTGTAGTTTCAATATGACGGGAGGGGTTGGGGCTTTCCAGGCCAAAAGACAAATTTTCATATTCCAAAGGCATTTAATCGCCATTTAATACTTCATCCCGCAGTTCAAAGCAAATGCCAAGTCTTTGGAGAGGAGATATGAAGCAATTTCAGCCTGCAGACACAAAATCAAGGAAAGGGTGGCTGTGACTTTAGCTGTCCTGATGTCCCTACTTCAAGTGCAGATAAGGCTGTCATGAGAGGTAAAGTGAGCCCGGTTTTGGGGCGGTATTTGTTTCAACAAGGACATTACATGCAAAAAATATGCAGGAATGAGAAACGCAAAATAATTTCTTTCCAGCTAAATTCTATCTGAAAGTCTGAGCCAATACTGGGAATTGGGTTTTTTGGTAAGCGTTCTATTGCCAAGCAGTGACCCATACATTTAGGTGTTATAACAGTGCAGTAGAACAGAGTATATTAGACTGCACGACAGACAGTAAAGTTGTGTGTTTCTGTCAAACCAACGTACAGTTGTTGAGGAACAGGAGCACGGCGAAGCCCAGTGTAGATGTGGCCAGCAAGATCAGACAGATGTTGCAGGGGATCATGAAGTAGCGCACCACCAGTGACACCTTGTGCTGGTACCTGCGGTCCTGCTCCGGTGGTGGTGGCGAGGGATAGTGGCACCCACTCATGCTCCACTCCAATGACCCCCTCCCCTCCAGGGTGGAGGAGATGATGGGACGAGGAGGGCGACGAGGGGTGCCCAAAGACCCGTTGGAAAAAATGATGGCGGTGGGGTTAGGGCTGAGGATGAAGATGAAGATAAAATAAAAAGCAAAAAAATATGCGTAATGGTTTGTATTTCAGCTGCGGTTCCAGCTGTGCACCGTGGCAAAGACCCGGTGACTGTTTCTGTCAGAGAATCGCAGCAGCAAGCTTTCAGCGGTTTCTAAGCAACACATTTTTAGAGATAATAACATCCATTTGGAGAAAGAGGACAGACAGAGAGGACAGGGATGTTGGACTCCTACAGCCCCCCACCTGTCCACACAACCTCCATTCTGCGGTGCCGCTAGGAAAAAGACAAACTAATGGGCTTTCACTGTGTGTGCTGTGAAGTGGTTTATACTTACAGTGCGAACATGTGTGTGGATTTAAGTGGGTGGTGATAGTGTGTTTGTAAATGTGTGTCAGTGCGCTTTTGGCATAAATGTGCCTGAGATGCACCTAAGTCAGATATGTGTGT